CTGCGAATGTTTTTAAGAAACCAGAATTAACATCAAATCGATATGCGTTAAACCCTACATCCCGTATAATCGAAAATATTATGTTCAAAATGCGAAGAAATTAATTTGGAGCAACTTTTTGAATTACTGACATTCTTTTTACTTCCTATAGCTGATTCAATATGAAAAGTATTTCTTTATATTTAATTTAATTACTAAGTACTTGTTGAAAGTAAAAATTTAAATCCATTCAAAGATGTCTGTGTCAGTGTTCAAAATATGTGGAAACACCAAGTTCTTATCTTTTTATTGTTGTGAATGTCGCGGTGTTTACTCAACGAGATATCTCCCCTTTCAAGGAAAAATTATTATAAATTAATTGCTACTGAATTATCTTTGTAATTTACGACTTCTTATTAGGCGACATCTAGATATTTTGTGTCTCTGGAATTTTTCCGCACATTTCGCTCGATTGTGTCAAACGTGTTTTAAACTGCAACCAGGTTAAAATGGTAAAATGGCAAGTGGTTTCGCATTAAAAAGGAAAACAAAACTTATCGTGCACATTTCAAGTTTTGATTAACAAACGATAATGCTGACAAAGTATTGAGTAACGTAACAATACACAACGATAAGAGTCCATTGTTTTCGACAATAATTGTTTAATTTTCGATAACAAAGTGGCACACACTGCGTGCCCAGAAAAATCGTGTTTTACGATAAAATCAATCTTGTTAATAGTTATTGAAATTATTAAATTAAGCTAATAAGAGTGCGCGCGCTAACTTCTGTCATTTACTGTTAAAGACTCAATAAACCACTGGTAGTGACGTCACTAGGTGATGACGTATTAGATGTGAGACCTTCTAAGTAGGAATGATACAGTTCGTTTGGATATAACCTATTTAATGAGACGTGCTCAGAGTTGAAGAGACACTATTAAATTTTAAACAGAGAATTTTAACATGTTTCTCTGGATTCAGTTCAAGTTAAGACCAAGACTGCCAATTGAACTGAAGACTGTGATAGCGCTTGGTATATTTAGTTTTAGGTGACAGAGACATGAAAAAAATACGGTGCCTTTAGAAAATGTGCATCGTTCATCAGTTCATCTCAGGCGTTATTATGGATCGAAGCATCCAAAGAGATTTAAAAAATCGGTCAAATAGTACGATATTTGTTGAGTTAGAATTCCAACAAAAGAATAAGCCAATGAAGTAACTGCTAAACACATTATGCACTGCAAGCTGCTACGAGTGCCACGCCGCCAATGGCTTTCTACGTACCACGGGTGTCGAAGTCAAATGCATACAGTAAATCGAATCTTACAGAAGCTGTACGTGATATTTGTTACGTGAACAAATTTTTATGTTCAGATTGTGTAATATTCCGATGTGTGTGGCGTTACTAAAAAGTTTCGTCACGTGCTACGAGTAAAGGAAGAAACTGATATGGATGAACCTAATTAGGAAAAATTGTAGATTACTAGACGAAAATATATACGTGGATTTATAAGTTGCGCTATCTAAAAAAAATTATAGAATAAAACAAGTCTTACAGTGCATTCGAACGCTTGATAAAGCAAAATTAATCGCACTTTTCATTGATAAACGTATGTATTTGAAGGATACCAAAATAAAAGCTATTTTAACGATACAGAAATAAATTAGCCTTTCACTCACAACAAAATAAGATGTTGGTAAACTTACTTCAATTAAAAATAATTCAAATCTTTTAAATAAATAATTTATTTAAGATATTTAAATTATGTTTAAAAATTTATTAGTGACGCCATCGACTTTGCACTCAAATGTCAAACTCTAGTTTTTACTGTTATGTTTTAAGTTTTTACATTTTTACAACTGGTGCGTATTAATTAACCATGTACTTCACTTAATAAAAGTGATATTGACATTGAAAAACAAATCCACAGTTATTTTAGCTGACGCAACTTACAGGGTGTCTCAAATTACCGGAAAGAGAACTTATTCCCTTATGCAGCTCTGTATATGCAGAAAACAGAAATATAAATAAAAATGTATATGCTAGGGTCGTCGCTGAGAAATAAATCTATAATAAAAAAAAAGCATTGAATTCGAGGCCCATTTTTAGTGGCGCTTTAATTCTACGGCCCGTGTCCTTCAAATTTGTTTGATCAAAATAATTTGATGTCGCCATCAAAAATTAACTTTCATACTACCGAATTAATTTGGTCAAATTGATACAATAAATAAAAATTACCTCAAATAAGAATGACCTCAAAAACAGTCAGTTTATTTTTTTCGAATAATATTTTGTTTTCTACCCACCTTTCATTTAATTGGAAAGCAGAAAACGTACGGAGAACTATTAATAAAAAGAGTTTGTTTGATTTTATCAAAATCGTGAAGTAAAATGACAAATTAATCTTCAAATTAATTTCATCCAACAAAGAGTGGCCGCAAAAAAAAGCCATTTTTTCGCCTGTTTTTGAGACTTTGACAGAGGCGACAGGGAAAATCCTAAAAATATTCTAAAAATATCCAAAAACAATGAAAATGAGCATCACTTTCAGTTTTTCGAAAATTTTCGAAAATCACCCTTATTTAGGCGTTGAAAAGACAAAAAAGTGAACAAATTAAAAATCATCAACAGTTGTAAAACTCCAAATATTTCTATGTTATCAAAATAATATGAACGTGAAAATATCTAATTTCGTATTTGATTCGGTATTGTCCGGATTGAAAATCAACCCATAATACCCCTAAAGGGATTAAGCCATCCCCTAAACGTCAAACAATGCAAAAAATATATTAAGTTACAATTTTTTTTCTATTTCTTTTATACGTATACGATTGAACTTAGGGATGGTTTTACCCTCATTTAGGAATATTTTCCTTCGAATCTAGTGATTGTAGGTTATTAACGGTTCAATTATCACGTATAAAAGAAAAAGGAAACAAATGTAACTTTTAATATATTTTTTGCATTTTTAGGCGTTTAGAGGATGATTCCACCCCTTTAGGGATATCCGGGTTGATTTTCAATCCGGACAAGACCGTATCAAATACGAAATTAGATATTTTCACGTTCATTATATTATTTTGATAACAACATAGAAATATTTGGGGTTTTACAAATGTTGAAATATTGATGATTCTTAATTTGTTCACTTTTTTTTGTCTTTTCAACCCCTAAATAAGGGTGATTTTCGAAAATTTTCGAAAAACTGAAAGTGATGCTCATTTTCATTTTTCATGACCGAGTTTTTGCATTTTAGAATATTTTTCGGATTTTTCCTGTCGCCTCTGTCAAAGTCTCAAAAACAGACGGATTTTGCGGTCACTCTTTGATAGTCTGGTACGGGCCTAATGCGAAGTGTGTACAAGGTGATTCACAAATGCTGACCAAAAATGAAATCTCGTATTCTTTGGTGAATTTTAAGAGGAGTCTTTCCTATAAGGTTTCTATTTAGGACGCTTGGTTGAAACAATACAGGGTGTTAAACTTCAAAAAATATTTTAAATTTTTTTAAATAATTCAAAAACTAGTAAGTGTGAAATAATTTGAAATTGAGCACATGTATTTATGTAAACATTATCCAAAATCTGAGGGCTTTTCCTAAAATTTACATGCTCCAGTAGCGCTGATACAGGGTATCGGTGGCATATTTTTTAAATAAAATAGTACGCCACTGCTTTACGGTAACAACCATATTTTCGAATTCGTCTTTCAATTTTCTACGAATTACTACTCTCTTATGTTTTTCGAAAAATGCCTGATTTCGAGTAAAACTTAAAAAACGAACTGAGAACACACTTCGATATTCGAATACATTTATAATGCTTTTTAAAATTATATAGTGGGCTGCGTTAGCAACTTTGACATTCTGAGCAGTGAGAAGAAAGAATAAATAATGCTTTTCGTCAGATTCTAACAAAAATGAATTTCGAACAAATTACATTTTCGTTACTAAAAATTATTTATTATATTTTTAAGACATAACAGAGTAGTAATTTGGAGAAAATTGAAAGACGAATTCGAAAATATCGTGGTTGTTACTGTAAAGCAGTGGCGTACTATTTTATTTACAAAAATATGCCACCGATACCCTGTATCTCCGCCACTGGAGCATGTAAATTTTAGGAAAAGCCCTCAGATTTTGGAAAATGTTTACATAAATAAATGTGTCCAATTTAAAATTATTTCACTCACTAATTTTTAAATTATTTAAAAAAATTAAAAATATTTTTTGAACTTTTAACACCCTGTATCTTTTTAAGGAAGCGTCCTAGATAAAAACATTATAGGAAAGACTCCCCTTAAAATTCACCCAAGAATACGAGGTTTCATTTTTGGTCACCATTTGTGAATCACCCTGTATAAGGTATCCCAAAAACTTATATTCTACACTAGCCCTTATACAAAACATTATAAAAAAAACTATAATTCACTATTGCCAGGCAGCTTGGAAGCCAAAAGAAAAAGCAAGTTAAAGGAGAAAAATATGCAAAAATTAGTGGGCGAATGAGATGCGAAAGTTTCTAGTTATGTCACAATGACAGTTTTCTTACTCACTTTTACAAAATAGTATATTCGGTTCTTGCAATATCAGTGGAGATATATTATTATTATAACTATATTATATTTAATTGACTCCCTCCAAATATTAAAAATGTATTGTTTTGTTTTCAATTTTTAATTTCTGATAGGTTTTTCTTCTTCAAAAAATATTTTTTTTTATAAAATGTTTGAAATATCAAAATTGACTGGTTTTATAACCTCACTTCTTGCTTTAAAACATAACTTCGTTCATTTTTAATATTTTTTTTCTGTTACGTACAGTTTTTGAAATATAATATTTTTCAAATTTTCATTCATATCTACAAACATTGACGTCTGAAATATCAACAAGCGATTATTTTCATAACCTCACTTTATGCTTAAAATAAAAAATCTAGACGAACATCTCAAATTCTCTCTTAAAAAAACACCCGGGGGCAACGGACTGGCACTTGGCCCCCTCGCCCCCTCCGACTTACCGCTGCTCGAGTGCCTTTTGAAGCGCAGTTTGAGCTGGCTGGGATCCGTCACGTACTTCTCACCCTGGCGGCGCCTGCGTAGGCCGGGCGTCAGTTCGCCCCCCGACCAGGACATACACTTGGCCAGCCGCTGGCCGCCCGCTCCCCCTCCTCCTCCGCCCACCGCAACCGGGATCTTTGAGATGCGGCCGACCACGCCGCCCCCGTCCAGCGCGGGCGACGTCTGGAAAAGCAACGGGGGAGAGGCCCCCGCTCTAGCGATGAATGGCTCACAAGGGATTATTTACAAGATGGTGGTTTTAGTTCAGATGGGGGGTTAGCGGGGAAGTATAGCGCCCGTCACGTAACCCCAAAAAAATATCCCACAAGATTTTTCATTAACACCAAAATGTATATGTTCGAAAAGATATGTCGAAAAATAAAAGTGCCGGAAAGGCGAAGAAATTGATGTGAAGTATGTTGAATTCGATAAAAAAAGATAATGAAAAGAAACTGATGTTAAACGGAAAATAATGAAATAAAAATGAAAGAAATTAGTGTAACAAAGAGGACGAGAATAGTGTACATGGCAAACTCATATATTAATGAAGAATATTAAACGGATGAAACGAAAAACAGAATGAAGTTGATGTTAAGCAGAAAGGAATGGAATAAAAAATCAAGGAATTAAAGTAGAGATGAAATAGAACAAATGAAGAAAAGGGATACCACAAAGACGATGAAAGTAAAAAATAATTTAAAGTGAAGATTAAACACAGAGAAGAGAAATAGAAATTAATGTGAAACATGAGAGTCCGTGGAAAGAATGATGTGAAGTACCTAAATTAAAAAAAATAATGAAGAAAATGAAAGAGGTGAAACAGTGATATAGAAATATAAACAGAAGTATTAGAAAGAGAAAAGAAATAAATAAAATTAAAATAATAAATAAAATTAATAAAGACAAGGAAAATAATGTGGATTATGCTAACCTTGAAGGAAAATAATGAATAAAGTATAGAGGTGAAACGAGAGAATTGAAAGAAAAAACTGATGTTAAACAAAAGGAATGAATCTGAAGTAGAGGGCCAAATAGAGAGGATAAATGAGATACAAATTAAGAAAATGAATACTACAAAAACGAAGAAAATGATATGAAATGTTAAATTTAAAAAAAATTATGATAGATGTAAAAGAGGGATAAAACAGAATCAATTGATGTGAAACAGAAAGGTGTGGGTAAAAAATTGGAAAAAATAAATGTAGAATTTATTGCCATTGTGACAGAAAAAGTTTAAGTTTGTGAAAGTGAAGATAAAGTAGGACAAAAATGAACAAACTAATACAAAAATGAAAACTGAAGATATAATGAAGAATAGTGTGGGAAGTGAAAGAATGAGGAAATGGCGAACGTGAAATACAAAATTTTAAAAATCCATATGAAGTATGTCCAGTATAACTTTAAAACGATCTTATATTTTTTTGAGGTTACAGACTCAAAAAGCAGCTATTTTTAATTCAGAAATGAAGTGGATAGAGCTGTAGTTTTTCCCCACTTTTCCCATGATTTGGTGACTGAAAATATTGATAAGCAACTTTTCCTTATAAATATTTTAAGAATTGATTCTACTTCTGTTACAATTTGAAAAATGCGAGCTCCATCCAGATTATTTCCGAATTTCCCAACTCCACCTCCGATTAGCTCATTATGATTTAGTGGGTGAGTCTTCCAGCTCTACTTTTTCCACTTACCGACGACTCCCTCAGGATCTGGCTGGCGTTGTCGACGCCGCTGTCCTCGTCGTCCTGTTCTTGGCGCTGTTTATCCTTTAACGTTGGATTTTCTGTGGCGTCGAAATACTCTGATTGCTCGTCGATGCCCGGGCTCAAGCCATTGGCTATCGAACGCTTTTCTCTACGAGGAAAATAAAAATGAAACAAAATAAGTGTTTTGTGAACAATTAGAAACGATTTGATGTGCAACTGGAAGGAGTGGGTGGGAAAGTTGAGAGAAGCATAATTTTTTTACGTGAAATTCATAAAAAAAATCATGTGGAAGATAAAAAAAATTAAGAAAGTGAAACAGAATAGAAACGAAAACTATGTGAAACAGAAAGGAATGGATGAAAAATATGTATTTATGAAAAATTGATATGTATCAAAACAGGTTAAGCCTGAAAAAAAAAAATAATGGACAAAGTGAATTCGCGAGAAATAAACAGAAATTGATGTTACACAAGAATGTTTGACGTAAGTTTGAGGAAAGTGAAGAAATGTCGAAGTGGAATAAAAATGAATGTGAAATGTGACAAAAATAGATGTGAAAGGAAAACTAAAATAATTTATAAATAAACCAATACAAAAATCAAACAATGAAGACAAAGATCGAGCGTTTTTCTTTGCAAAATATGAATGAAACAAAACATGTATTTTGTGAATACCTTTGAAAATAATTTGATGTGAAACTGAGGGGAGCGTAAAGTTGATATATAATCTTTTTATGTGAAATTCATTAAAAACGATGTGGAAGAAAAAGTTGAAGAAAGTGAAACAAAGACTATAGAGAAAAACTGATGTGAAGCAGAACGTATTGGATGAAAATTAGAAATATTGATGTGAAATTCGTAAAAAATCGATATGGAAAAAAAGAAGAAGGGCAAAATTGACATTGAACGTAAGGGTCGGTGTAAGTAAAGGCAAAATAGAATAAAAAAAAATAATATGAAATGTAAAAAATGGATGTGCAAGAATAACTGAAAAAATGTAAAAACAATCTAATAGAAAACTGATCCACTGTTGATGAATACAGGCTAAACAAAAGACACGAAGAAAATTAGTGCCACAGAGATAAAGGTGATGTGAAAGATGCTAAATCTGAAGAAAAAATAATTAATATAAGGAGTTTATGGAAAAAATTGATGTGACAGAAAAAATAATAGGCAAAATTAATGTAAATTTGAGAAAAGATAAAAGAGGTGAAAACGAAGTGGAATAACAATGAATGTGAAATGTGAAAAAAATTGATGTGAAAGAAAAACTGAAATAATTTATGAAAAAAACATAATGAAAATGGAACACTGATGATTAATAGATGCTGAATAAAAAAATGAAGACAGCGAAATGACAATGAAACTAGAAGCCTGAAGATACGGAAGAAAAATGAACTGAAATAAAGTAGACGTGAATCTAGTTGATTTGGTGGATGTGCAAAAGCTAGAAATTGTGACTTACTTCACTTCTGGAATGCTAGTAGTGGACACAAAGGTGACGTTGGGGTTGGTGCCGAGGTCGACGGCCGGCGAACACCTCACCCTCTGCTTGCCTTCCGCGTCTAGGTGACCCCTATCGGGAGTCACCTTTCCCTCCTCTTGCTCCTCGTTCTTGTCATTCTGCTGCTTGCACGGCGTACTCGAACTAGAGTCCGAGTCGCCCAAGTTGTTCTTTATAATCTCCAGCGGTTTGGAGATCGCCTTCTGCGAATTGCTACGGCTGAGCGACTCCACAGGCTCGAAGTTGAGGCTAGACTTGCGGTGCAACCGCTTCCGGTTCTTCTCCAGGCTGTTGTCCCTGGACTTGCCGCGAGAGATCTTTTGGTCGGTCTCGGTGCTGCTGGACTCCGTTTCCGGTTTCTTCTTTATCCTTATCGCGGTGTCCGAACCTGAGTTTGAACACCACAAAGTAAACAAAGAACAAGGAAAACGATAATATGGCTTTTTTACCCGTCTGTTTGTCGCTGGTAGCAACAGTCTCAGCATCCACCGTCTCGACACTCGCGGGAATCCCGTCGTCCTCTCCAGCGTGTTTCAAGTCGCACTGCGTCTCCTGGTCGGCCTCTCCGTCCATCCACACCACGTTCACCACCTTCTCTACTTCTCTGTCGGATTTCTCCAACGCCTCTGGGGCGAAAGTGATCTGTTCCCTCTTGGGGCTGGCCAGCGGCTCCCCTTGTTCGTTTCTCTCCTTGCTGCTCTGTTTTAAAATGCTCTTGGTCCGCTCGATCTTCTTCTTGGGTGGCGGGGGTGATTCTTTGATTTGTGCTTCGTCCTCCTCCTGTTTGGCGTCGTCGTCCTGGTCGGCTGCGGGCAGCAGGCCGTTCCTGGGAGACAAAGGAGCCGCCCTGTCGGGCGGTGACAGGCTCTGTGGCCTAGGAACGTTGTCTTTGGTAGGGGGCGAGGCTGGGGGTGGTTCTTTTGGCACTACTCTAATCTCCAACTTGCCGGCGACCTAAAAGAAGAATAATTTGTGACATATTCAAATCGAAAAATGAAAAACTCCAGGTGGAGTTGTGTTTCGTTGACACAGTCATATGTACGGCTGTCAGAGAGAGCCGCAAGTCAATGGCGTGCTAAGCGGGTCAACCGAGACATGCGCGAGCTGCTGCCTCATAATGCTTTTCACGTTCAGTATACTGTCGCTTTGTTATCGTGCGGATGTTACGTAATGTATCCGTTGGTGTTTATGGTATCGTAGACAACTTAAATTGTTGCTTTTTAATAAATAATGCGTACGCCTATGTCCCGCGGCTCAGTTCTAACAGCCCTAATCATAAGTTACAAAGTAAAATACGTGACGTTCGTTAGTCAACAGGGCTCGAGATAAAATGTAATTGTAAAAACCACTTTGCATTAATGTTTTGCTATTTACTGCAGAAATATCGAAAATTGTTATTATCTCAAAAGTTATACCTCCTAATAAATGTTTACAGAAGGTTTTATTTGTAGATAAAAGACTGTTATTGCGATTATACAATGTTATTTAAAAAACCCTGATTTATTATTACGTATTTTTAAAAATGACACCGCTGCCCCCACATTTACGCCATTGGTTATTTTATTTTCTCGGCAATATCATTAAATTATGTGCCGATTCGAGTTGCCGTACACCATCAATTTTAAAGTTTTTTATTTGAAGTCATTTCAAAATTATTAAAATATATCAAACTTTATAGATTTTATAGAGGTCCACAGAGTCGTACCTGCGTAAATAAGCAAACCTAAAAAAATTTATTAAAACATTTTTCTATACGTTGCCGTTGGCCAAACGAAGTTTTAAATCCATCAGTTGTCATGAGATTACTCTAAACATGTTAGTTACGCCATCATGTTTTATCCGCATGTCACACAGAATCTCAGATTTGTAATATTAAAAAAAAAACACACTTTTAGAAATAACTGTTTACGAAAACATTTGTGAAATTATTAACTTGTCATTGCTGTACTTAATAAATAATAAATAAAAGTTACAGTGAAGATATTAAAATTAAAACAAATTTATACGAATTATCGTTTACAAATATTTTTAATTCTATACAAGAGATGGCACCTTGAAATCTTGAAATCAATGTATGATAATTGGGCCAAATATTTCTGTCCATAGTTGCTGCAGTTGCCTTGTATATATTTTTGAAATGTTTAGAAATAATCTAGTAGTGAATATAATTATGTAGATTGTAGATATTGAAAATATTAGAAATCTCATAGAGGTTCTTAGTTAATAATTAGAAAACAATTAGAGGCGATTAGGAAACTATATCCTTACGTATTTTAAGGCACTGATGAATTCAATTCAGTAGTCTGATTTAGGTATTCCATAGATCCCAAGCTTTCATAAAACCACCTCCAAATCCACGATTACCTCTCGTTAACATCACATAGGCATATAGGAATTTGCACAATTTAGGGGTGATCTTTCTCTCAAAATTGGTGGGTGATGAAGCAATTCCAACTTTGGATTCGAGTTTAATACGCCAAAATACACAGAAATCAGTAGATTTGGTTCGACTGAAAGGCCCTTTTTTTGTGTGCACAAAATAATGGCTGTTTGCTGCTGCGCTGATTCGTGACGTCATTTAGGGCGATCGAAATCAAGAAGAATGACAGGGACAGGACGGCCTAGCAGCATTTTGTTTCTAGGTTCCCTGCACGCGTGTTTCTTTAGAATAGGTTCTGTCTTGTGTTTTCGGTCGCACTAAATGACGTCACAATGCGTTCTTGATCACATTTTACATTATTTTAAACATCTATAATTAATTTGTAGTATTAAGCAAGTTAATTTTTTATCACTGTTGTTGTCGGTTAGAGACTACCTACAAATCTATGCAGTTCTAAAAGAAATTAAATGTTCATGCGAGGTATTAACCGGTGGCGAGGATATCGGAACACACCGTCAATAAGACTATCAGAATTTACATGTTATTGAGTATTCTGGAAATTCGGTAAGTTCATCTGAAGGAGAAAAGTTATTTTCCGTTTTATTCGAAAACAAATCATTTTCGAATTATTTATTTATTTTGAAATAAACTTATCGCACAGTTGAATAAAACGAAAATGCAAAAAAACATTTACAGAAATGTTTTACTACCAATACGATTTTTAAAATTTAAAATTGTATTTACAACAAAAAAATTCCCATACTTTTTTTGGAACGAACAGTTTTCGATTTATTTTATTTTTATTCAACTGTGCAGTATTTTAGATTAATAGAAACAATAACATGAAAATTCCCCTTTTTATAAATTAAATGGAAGATGCATTTTTTCTCTAAAAAACAATGGAATGAACATATTAAATTTACAAAATTTTCAGTGGCGTCGAAATTCCGAAGTTCTTAATGGCGCTACCTCTCCGTATCTCCGCTTCTGGTTGATATAATTGTATGCAAATTATTTTTTGTACTCCACATAAATACATCCTGTAAAACTCCTAAAGTCAAACTATGCCTATTTCACGTTTAATACGCGTTGTGTAAACGTTTTAGAAATGTTTATATCAACAATCTTGTTTCATAAAAAATGTTTTGTAAATATTCTTTTAGCTTCTGTAAAACATAATATGGGATCGTTTCGTGTTTTTATTACATCTTAATTTCTGGGATGAAACACGCCGGGTCAAATAATTTTATAGACGTATGCCCACACCAAAACTCAAAAACAAAGTTAAATTTAAACAGCCATGACCTTCAAAATATCCATTGTTCCGATAAAATAGATCGAACGGCCTTTCATTCCGCAAATACAAACGTATCTATACTAAAACTCAAACACCAAGTTAAATATAAACAGCCTTGACCTTGACCTTGAAAATATCAACGGTCCCGACAACGTACCGAATAGTCCTTCATCCCTGCCTGCCCTCCCCTAAATGACCTTGACCTTGACCTTGAAAATTGCCAGCGTCGCAGCCCCTCCTACTTAAATCACTACGTCTTACCTCCTGGAGTCCCTCGTCGCCGTTCTGTTCCGCCTCCCCGTTGCTCCTGGCCTCCTCCTGGTTGTCCACCAGGTTGAGGGTGGGCAGGCTGCCCCACTTGTTGGACTGTTCAGCGGGCGTTTTGGCGGCGTCCACCTCCTCGCTCTGCACGTGCTTAGAGGCCACGTTTCGCATCACGTCTACCTTGAAGATGAGGTCGTCGAACGCCGCCTGCTGCAGCAGGGGCGGCTTCAGGCTGGAGCGCACGCAGGGGCCCAGGCAGGGCGTCGACCAGGCCCTGGGCAGGCCGCCTGCAAGAAGAGGAACGTGTGATATCGGAACTATCTTATATGGCTCGTAAGGTGACGAAATAAGTCGTAAGATCTAAGGGCTCGAGCACCTAGAGCGAATTTTCTTTTAGATGTATCGAATTGAGAGAGGCATCTTCATTTATAGGAGGTGTACACTGTGTAACATAGATAATATTTGTCACAAAATTATTTTTTTACTATTTTACCATAACTTTTCCCATATTTCACTTATGCGAAAAAGAGATGGAAAATTTATCGTAACTTTGTTATTTGTTTCCTTTATTATTCTTTAATTAACCTTTTAACATCAAGTAGTTTAATTTTCCCAAATATTATTACAAATAAAAAATTATGATCCATTTCCAGAATTAGCAATAGTAAGTGTATCCGATTTGAAAAAATCTCAAACGGAAAAAGGTTACGGAAAAATATTAATTTAAAAAAATAATAATAAATAATAGGTTATGTAACTCCTCTGCGTTTTCAAAACAGTTTCAAAAGAATATGTTCCATTTATACTTATAGTTTTCAGGTAGGCTGTATTTTTACTATTATTTGCGCCTAAAGAAGTTCAAAGTTTCGGCGCCTATGGCAACGTGAATGGAGTACAATGTCGTTATTCTAATAGTCCAGATGTTGATTTATTTTTCCACTTACGTCACAAGTTTATATATTTTTTTTACTCGTGTTCGGCCTGAAGAGTTATTAGTTCTTGATGTTGGGAATATCAAGTTTTCGTTCAAACTTTTTTGTTTCTCATAAATTTGGATAATTTTTAGGGTAAAAGCTGTTAATGTAGGTATTCAATTTACCGATAGCTATTTTTGTGGCCTGTGGACAAAGCGCCCTCTATAGTCTTGGTACCCAAAAAGATGTGCAGGTCTTATTTTTTATTTTTGTTGATATTTTTAAGAATTTTGTAAGTTTGTGTTTTAAGTGAAAAAGGTATACTCGATTATTATCGATACAATGAACTGTTTTCGAGACAAACGCGTTTATCGATAAATAAATACATGAAAGTCACTGGTACATACTTTATGAAGCAAAATAAATGTAGGTATGTCAGTCGGCATTTGATGTATATATTATTTATTACTATTGTGCCGAAAATACAGTGCGTATGATATTTGTTGAGATAGAATTCCAAGAAGACCCCTGCATCACATTCTTGGAATTAACCGCATTCGACACCCAAGGTAGAAAGACATTGACGGCGTGGCGTTCACCGCAGCAACTTGCAGTGCATACTGTATTTTGCAGTTACGAAGGCGTTTCTTCCTAAGTGTATATTGGAATTTTATCTCGACAAATATTGTACGGACTGTAGTATGGTATCTTTATTGTTAATTGCGTTTGCCTCGAAGACGGTTTGATGTATCGACATCAAACATGTTCACCTTTTTCACTTAAAACAGTACAAAATCTTAAAAATTGCGATAAAAATTAAAATAGTAGGCATACAAATTTTGTGGAAGCCGCGACTGTCGAGGTCATTTTTCCTTTGGTTCACTAAAATAGCTATCAGTAAATTGAATACATTAGTACAAATGGCTTCAAATAACTTCCATCCAAACATTAGATAAAAATGTAAAACATAAAAGTTATAAGAAAAAAACTAATAGCTAATAACTCTATAGGGTAAGCCTGTATTAAACACATTATACAAACTAAAAAATCCCTAATGGCACTTGTTTGCATAAAAAAATGCCAGTAGTTGGCGATGACCTTGAAATATAAGGTGAATGGAACATTCCTCCGACGCGCTTTGCTAATAAATAAAAAAGTTACGGGTTTGTCCAACAACCTGTATGTTCAGTGTTTTATCTTCTACACCAAATGCAAGTATCACTTGGTGTTAATCTATGTTAGGTTTCACTCAAATAGAAGTTTTACAAGCCGGCAAAACTATCGCGAATGCAGTATACACAACAAAGTGCCTACAATCGCTCGATGTAACACTATAAACGCTCTAAATCACTTTAAATTGCGTTTATGATGTTTTTCAAACTGATAATCTGGTCGTAAAATGTTAAGACAGACCACAGAACTTTACGAAATATCTTCTAATGATTTATGATACATAAACTAAAATAAAAAAACAGAACGGGTTATAAAGACAGTTTAATTGATAACTTCATGATATAAAATTCAACGGAAATTAATACAGGAAAATGTCGAGTACATTTAATAGTGTAAAAATGAAACAAAATTAATAAGGTACCTAATACCAATAAACAATGAAAATAATAGATAGATAAAAAGCCATATAATACAATGTTACCTGTAGAATGTACAGTTGTTTTGTTAAATTACAGTTACAGCTCAGAAATAATATTTATATAAAATTCAGTGTTAGTAAAAAAAAATACAAGTACTAAAATTTAAGATATATTTGAGATACACAAAAAAATCCAATTAACAAAAATCAGAGCGCACCTGTTAAAAGTCTGTTGGAAAATTCTGGTAAAATGTTAGTTTTCAGACCGATTTGTTTGCGATTGAAACGACTTTCGACGGGCCCATTTCTTTAACGTGTAACACTCTCGATACTTACGCAAAGTGGGGGCAAAAACCAAACAAAAAATCGGAATAACAGACGGTAATCCTTACGAGATTTTCCCTCGGGCTGCACTAGACACCATAACACTAAAAAAAAACCTCGCTCTCCCGATATCACATATTAATAAAGTGGTGTATTAGGCCCGAAATAAAAAGCAATAAATCTGGCCGAACAGTAGGCAGCGGGGATCAAAACATGCTCCGCGGACACGTTAAGAATAACGCCAACGGATTTTTTCTGTCGACGACCAAAATAATGCTGTTTCTAATCGATTGGCGTAAATAATCCCATTGCCACATACGTAATTATTTTCAGTCGTTTGCAGATCCAATTATCACCGCGGTTTGGACAGGTGAGCGAGGCTTATAGTACATTCGTGGTTTCAGTAATAAGTTCAGAAGTCCAGTTAATAGTGGAACAAGGCTAAGCTGGAGATTCCTGTCATATTCAAGCAATGTTCTTTTGAAAAACATAGCTCCGTTATTTTGGGAGGATATTTACGTAACTCTCCGACATTTATTGCAACAGTTTGCACCATTATACTTTTCCTACACTCTGTTTGCATCTCTTAATTACTGCAAACATTTTTTGTGGCAGGAAATATTACGGTAGTACCGCTCTAGATAAAAATGCGTGAATAGGCTATCCACAGCTCTATATGTATTTTTCCACATGGTCAGTCAAATAATTAAATTATTTGGTGATAATCGGCTAAATATTGGAAACAAATAAAAATTTTAATATTAAAACATTGAGGACACAGTAGAGGTCAATCGGCACGTATTTTCTACTTCTGGATCTTTCTATGATTACATACGAGGTTTGTTCAGAAAATAACCGAACTTTTTGAATTACGCTCTAATGGGGATATTTAGTGATGTTCTTGGATTGTTGATATATCATTTAGTTTTCGTGATGATTTGAGTGTAACGTGTTTAGGTGTTAATGGCGATTTTTGAAATGTGCGATTTTCTCGAACAACGATGCAACGTAAAATTTTGCGTGAAAGTGGAGAAAACTTTCACGGAAGTGTTTCAGCTTGTGAAACAAGCTTACGGAGATCATGCTCTGGGTCGTACGCAATGTTATATAGTCTTTCCGAAACCAGTTGAACATGTATAAAAGCGCCCAGCAATAAAATTTAACGAGTTTCATGGGCATCCCTAAAAAAAGTTTACTGCTATTATATGTTCATTTGGCCAACAACATATTTTAATTATTTATGTTCTCAAACAATTTTATTTTATATTGATGGCAAACTTCGTTTTGGTTCCAAAATGTCTCCAAAATGCCATGTTGTAATAATATTAGTAAATAAAATATCTCTCTTATTTATCTCTTTCGTAATTGTAATATCAATGATTAATAGAAAGTGCGTATAATAAACTAAAATTACCTGAATCACGCCAAATTGCGCATTGCTGCACTGCACTGCTAGGCAATTTGTCAACAACTGAGATTTATTTCCCAGTCACCCAGTGCAACTGTGGTATACGCCGTTTTCCCCCGCGCGTATTCTTCAACTGGGCGTACACATTTCTACCACCTCCACGTTTAGTTCGACCTGACCTGTATATGGGTATGGCTGAATAAATATGGGAATAAGTTTTTCAAATATTTCAATGTCGAGTTCCTGCGTCAGCGACCGAACCTGGTAGGTACATAGTGCCAACTTCTTGGTTCTTCAATTGAGATCGGAAAGACTGTACGAATGGTTTTCACAATTTAAAAGTGGTCGTCAGTTAATTGAAAATGATCCTCGGCCACGAAGGCCTTCGACTTCAACTAATGATTACCACGTTCAGAAAGTCAAAGATCTGGGGCGTGCAAATCGACGACTTAGTGTCAGAGAAATTGCAGAAGAGGTTAGCCTTTCTTTTTGAACTTCTTGAACAATCCAATGACGATGAAACATTCATTCACAGAATCATAACGGGCAACGAAAGCTTTGTTTACGGCTACGATATTGAGACAAAAATTCAATAATCACAATGGATTGGCAAAGAATGTCCACGCCCCAAGAAAAACTAGTCAGTCTAGATCCTAGGTTTGAGTTCTTGCCTCAAGGTGAAACAGAGAATTGTGTGTTCTATCAAGTCATTTTACAACAGTTTCGTGAAAAAATCCACAAAAAGAGACTAGAATTGAAGCGAGATAACTCATGGTCTTTGCTACATGACAATGCGCCCGCGCACTCAACTTTGTCAATTTGTCAGTTTTGTACTAAAAATCTGATTACTGTCTTCCCTCACCCTCCTTACTCGCCAGAGCTGGCTCCTCGCAATTTTTTTCTTATTTCTTAAATTAAAATCAGTGCTGAAAGGACACCGTTTTCAGACTATTGATTCCATCAAAGCAAATACGCATAGACTTTAAAGGCCATTTCAAATAAAGTTATACGGGATTATTTCGTGAAATGTGTGAATAGAGGAGGGGAGAACTTTGAAGGAGATAAGAACCAATAATGTATAAAATTAATAATAAAGTTAAAAAAAAAATTAAATTTGGTTATTTTCTTGAACAAACCTCGTACATGATTGCCTGCTTACAGTTAATTAATATTTGTTAAGAAGTATGCAATTTGCAGATAGTTACGTATAATTTTCTCTATCCCCTTAAACCAAATATTTGGGTACAAATATTTTGAGTTTAGTCACAAACTCCTTTTCAGAATTTATTTTTATATACTGTCAAGTGATGTGAGTAATAGAAAGTTAGTTTTTTTAAGCAGGAGATAGTTAGTTGCTGTATAGATCTTTTTTTAAAGCGTGTATGTCAAAAAATGTTGATAAACATCATAAATGGACTAAACAGCGTGTCTCAGAAATATGTTCCAAATTTTAACTGTACTGCATTTTTTGTTTTTTATTACCTCAACTAAGCGTTTTGATTCAGGCTTCAGTAACAAAAATTTTAAGTTAAAAAAAGTTAACACAAAAGTTCTTGCTTTTGACGATTTAAATGCGTGATTATTTAGTACTTATTTCTGAGACACCCTGTATATAATCATTTGAAAAAAGTCGTCGACGTTTGTTTAAAAATAACTAAGTAACATCAGATTCAGAGATTTTAATTTTTGTTTTTCGTTTTTGTCATATTTAAAGGCGATACTTTTGCGCGGTTCAACGATTTCATCCTGATATCAAGGGAAAACTATAACCAGCTTTGAGAAAGGGGTTAATACGAGTGTTAGTACGGAATACAGAGTGGTTAAAATAAAAGAAAACTCGGCAGCGTATAAAGGTGTTTATAGAAGCAGAGAAAAAAAATTGTATACAAGCTGTACACATCATTAACTATGTATCACAAGAGATAACATGGGCGTTCGTTATTAGGGGGCGTGCGAATATCGGGGAGATCGGATACGACATCTAGAAACAAAACATCCTTTAAATAGTGCTCAAATAAAAAGGGAAAAACAGACGGCACTGAGAAAAAAAACGTGTTAAGTTCAAATACAATACAAACTTTAAAAAATAAAGTAGTTTTCAAACAACTCCCTTCTGTTAAAATAGTCAAAGAGGACATTTGAAGTTGTAGCGCCATCTAGTGGTAAATATTAACACTAGATAGTTGAGATGAGGGCTCTTGTTTTAATAACATTTAAAAACTGTCACTAACGTATTTCTACATTAAAAGCTTTATTTTTTTCAAAGAAACAACACATAGAGCACCTACTACTAAAAAAAAGTTACAAAAGCTGCCTATCTCCAAAAATACTTAACATATCACAGTTCTCTATCACCATATTCCATTTTTGTAATCAAGCTTTTGCCTTTGTCTTTTATTTACGAACCTAATATTATCTAACAATAATACAAACCACAAATCTACAAATTCTAGCTGTGCAAAACAACCTTAAAACAAAACTTGTACTTCTAAAGCAGTAAACACGGTAAGCGTTTTGAAATATGTACACGTTTTTAGCTTCTATGGCACCACTGAAGCGTGCACGTAGCTGAAAAATAGATTCACTAAACTACTACAAGTATATTTTTTTATCAGAGATAAAACAGACCTAACCTTGCGGAAATTATTATTCGGCTGGTTTACAAAACTCTGGACTGTTTATTTTGTGCCGCAGCACAATATTTTCGCTCTTTTCCCCGCATTCCACAGTATGAAAAATCCACTTTTTTCACAAACATTTTATGTCTGACTCGCATCGCACTTTTGAGAATAAAAGTTCAAACAACTGGTTAGTAAAAATTAACTAAGACTACCTAACCTAAAAAAATTTTACTGCAATTCACGGAGCGAAAAAATCAAGTATCTCCCCGTTATTCACACACCTAACAAAAAAATTGATCGAGTAGGCCTGAACGACGTTAATTATTTTCCATTTGTAAACATTTGACGGTTCGCTCGACTGTCATCATAGCGGCTTTGTACAAAACAAAACACCATCAATTTTTTAGTTAAAACTGACAAATTCCAATCGACGATCATTCTGACCCCTCGACCCGCCACATATCTACAGATTCTTACCGACTAGCTCGGGGTACTCCTCGATGCCGGCAATGTTGATGTACTTCTTGTGGCTCGTGCGCGAATCCTCGCTTATCCTGCTGAGGATTGGCGGGAGGGCCGCCGCCGTCTCCGATGGGGCGCCCAAGGTGGCCCTGTGTTCGGGGCTCTCGGGCTTCCACTCGTTGTCGGTGGTCTCCTCGCTGTCGTCGAACTGCGACTTCCACTGGCTGGCCAATGTCAGGGCCCCGCCGCGTGTTACCTAGAATGAAAGAGAAAAGGCATGTTTAACAGATACGTTCGATCTGTCGGTTCTCGCTGTTAGTTAGGGATTGGGGATGTTTCGAATATTTGTATTGAATTATTTGCATGAAATATTAAATTTGCATTCGTATCGCCCATTTTGTTATAGATTTTTAGCAAATGCGAATATTTAGCGAATGTGAATACTTAGCGAATACAAATAATTAGCGAATGCGAATACTTAACGAATGTGAATACTTAGCAAATGTGAATACTTAGAGAATACAAATATTTAGCGAATGTGAATACTTAGCGAATGACAATACTTAGCGAATGCAAATAGTTAGCGAATGCGAATATTTAGCGAATGTGAAGTTTTAGAAGAAAACATGTTTCATTTCTAAAAAAAATTGAGCTAGATATACAAGATGTAACTTCAGTACATAAAAATATTTTAGAGACGATTATTTTAAGAGTGAAAGTTCATAACGACTATTTTATAAATGGCTTAGTTTTCAACATACAGCATGTTTTAATTTTAAAAAAATGCGGCATTTACGAAAATGTCAGTCTTAGACGATTTTGATCTTCAACATTAACTACTAGGACTGTGAATTAATTTTGAAGAATTTATAATAAATGGCGTAACTTATGCTATATTGCTGCAGGATACTTCTGTAACTATACTCATGTCAAAGCTCTGTCATTAGGCTTTACTTTTTATTTTGTGTCTGTTTTTTTAAACATATTTTTCCTCAGCTCTGAAGATGTCAAAAACAAAATTAATAAAACACTGTTTGCGGGAAGTTTTACTTTTCCTGATTATTTCAGAGAACAGTGTCGCTAAAAGTCATCAAGCGCTGTTAGAAACTTACGGTGAACATATTTCATCGATAAAAAACATGTAAATATTCCAGCCTCTTAGACGTGGTGATTTCGGTACAGTTGACAAAGAACGCCTTGGTTAACGGAAAAAATTCGAAGATGAGGAATTGGAAGCATTACTCGACCAAGATTCATGTCAAACGCAAGACAAACTTGCTGAATCGTTGAATATTGATCGCACAGCAGTTTCCAAACGTTTAAATGCATTGGGTACAATTCAAAAGCAAGGCAATTGGGTGCCATATTAATTGAAGCCGAGTGATGTTGAACGGCGATTTCTCAAACAAGAAAGGGTTTTTTGCATCGTATCGTCACTGGAAATGAAAAATGATACACTATGATATTCCTAAGCGTAGAATATCATGGGGCTTGCCTGGTCGTGCATCAATATCAACGGTAAGGCCGAATATTCATGGTTCGAAGCTCATGCACTGTATTTGGTGGGATTAGCTTGGTGTTGTGTACTATGAGAGCTTCAACCAAATGAAACCATCACTGGTGAAAGCTACGAAAAGAATTGATGCGTTTGAGCCCTACATTGAAGGAAAAACGGCTTCAATTCGAGCAAAGGCACGATAATTTTTCAACATGACAACGCTCGACCACATGAAGCTCATGACCCCCCACCCACCATATTCACCAGATATTGCTCCATTGGATCATTATTTGTTCCGATCCATGGAAAACGAAAAAATTGGATCAATTGGTGAATAGCATTCTTGCAACGAGAAATCCGTATGCTGCCAGAAAGATGGGAAAAGGTAGTGGCTAATGATGGACAATCTTTGAAAAATAATAATGTACACAATTTTTCCCAATAAAGCCTTGAATTTACAAAAAAAAAACTCAAAATTAATTCACAGTTGTAGTAAAATGGAAAATATCCTTGACTTGAAATATAGGAATGTGTGTGCACTAATCAAATTCCCAAAATACACAATGGCGTCAAAATTTTGAGGTTTTTAGTGGCCTCCACCACTGGTTGACCTAAAAAATATTTTGGCCTCAAGCAAATGTTATATTATGAACTTTTTTTTAAAAAAAACTATCCTATGAATCACCTTTCGACATATTTTTATGTACTTAAGTTGCACCCTGTACTTCCCCTCCAGTAATTTTACTGTTACATAAATTAATGGCATTTCTTGATTTATTTGTTTGTACAATTTGCTTTCATATTCGCTAAAAACTTGAAATACTCTCATTTGTATTCATATTCATGAATATCGAAAATATCACATCCGGAACAACCCCAGTTTTAATGGCTGGCAAAATTTCTAGATCGACACCGACGGAATTAGCAACAATGTTAATTTTCCCGAATTTTAAAAAAGAGCCTACAAAGTTCCAAGATTTGGCATCAACAGAGTTCTTCCCAACAAGAAATAAATATACGTAAAACTTTTTTTTTATTTCAAATAAAAATAAAAAAGTACTGCTCAAAGTTTATATTTTTGTCATTACACTTCTACAAACTGAATATGTCTTCCTTTTTTCATCAGTAACAGAATACAAAGATCCAAATCTAAAAACCTCGTAAGGTCAACCGGAAAAGACGCCAAAACCTCCAGGCCTAACACCGATCGAACTGCGTCGGACCGTAACCAAACCCAAAGCGTACTTACTTGCTGACTTACATTCTCATCGTCGATGACGGCAAATTGTGTGAGACTTTGATCCCTCAGGCCCGACCTCGAACTCCTTGCGGCAGACGGTTGCCTCCTGCGGGGCCTTTCTTGTTCGGGTGTGGCGGGAGAGTCTACCAAACTGCCCGACTGGGCTTGAGTTACCGGGGTCACCACGCGGAGCCTTCCCAAGGTGGCAACGCCCGACTGGCTCTTACGCAAGGGGGCGGGTTTGACGTTGGCGTCGGATGTGGATTTGGCGGACGCCACGGCTTCATTATCCAGCCTGTCGGGTGGCTGGTCCAGGTGGGAGGTAGCCCTTCGTTTGCGAGCTGGAAAAAATTGGAAATAAGCTTCAATTTGTGAAAATCCGATGGATTATTATTTGATTTGGGAGACCATATAAGATGTTTATGTTCTTGGAAAAAAATGTACTTTAATAAAAGTTCCTTAGAAATGGCAGAAATTTTTTTTTATAATAATTCACATCAGAGTTATTTGACTTTGGCTTATCATTAACAAAGTTACACAATTATTTTATACAAATTGTTGTTTCAATTTCGGTATACCACAAGGATCAAATCTTGGGCCCCACTGTTTAATGCATTTATAAATGATTTAACTACAATTAACTTTTATATGCGGATGTTTTAAAGATGTAATGTAATGATGGCCATTTGAATTTTTTCTATATTATTAAACACATTCTAACCATTTGGAATCAGATAGAGAAATTTTTTTAAATTGCTATAATCCTATATTAAAGATGCATGCAGGGCGATTCACTTAACTTATCCAAACAAATTTGGGAATAGATGCGGCATGAGAAATGGAGTCAATATCCTAAAAAAATTCTGGTAAAATCCTTATAATTTTGGAGAAAAAAAATTTTTGAAATTGTGGTACTTTCAACCATTACATAGCTGGACAACTGTAGTCTCTAGCGTCATTTGCAATACGCGTGGAGAGCCACGTGGCCTCAGCGACTCACTCCGAATACTGAAATCCGATTTTACAATCGTCGTTGCGATAGCGTTTACAAAGTTTTTTAGTAGTTAGTGTCAAAAATGGCTTGTGTGTATAGCAAATTCGAGTTGATGGATATCGTTTTAATTTATGGTGAAGTAAGACAACATGCATATTATGGTGAAGCAAGACAACATTTGTGTTAGTTCATAGAAACTGGGTAAGACGGGCGAAAATGTGTACACGTGGGTGGACAAAATTTTGAACAATTTGTGGAACATTATGTATGCAAAATTATTAGATGCTATAAAATTCTATTTATTTCTTTCCTTGTGAAATTCTTTCAAGTTCTTGTCTGTTTTTATCACACTTTGCCGCCATGCCGGTCGCATTGTGCTGGGTCAGTTTTTATAGTGGACCAGCTTCCAGTGACGATCAGAAGTGTATTTTTAAATCATTTTCGAACTGCCCTTTTTGATTTTTTCTTTACAAAATTGTATTTATAATGGATAAGTTCTGAATCACCCTGTATATCTAGAAAGAGGAATTGACCAAGCATCCTTATTAATTACAAGTACAGTCATCGAAACATCCTATAATTATTATATGTAAGTATATTGTTTATCTTTTTTGTTCAAATATCTACATAGTACCACATACTACGCTTTAGTACATTCTCAGATTAAGTTCCTTGCCATACCACGATAACATATTACTTAAATCTCTGGTATTTGCAATAATGTCTAACTTTAATATCTCTAATGACTGTGATATAAATGTTTGTAAGTTGGTTAACTTTGATGAATTTTGCTAAACGGTTTTTCGATATTATAGAAATTTACTTTCCTTTGATAGTCACAATCAGAAATATTCCTTATCCTCCACATAAATGTTGGTTTCCTGTTGAAATATGGTTATCTAAGCTGATACATTTTTATTTAATTAGTATAATATAATATAATTTTCTCTAGGTTGTAACATTGTCCATTTACTGTTAAATTATTGTCCTGTTTTTTTTTGGCAGTGTAATATATTTTTGTTATTAACACCAACTCAATATTAAATTTTTTTAAATTTCCACTAATTTGCAATAGCAATACAGGGTGTCCCAAAATTCATGCAACAAAATTTGGTCATAGATTCTTAAGACAAATTTAGGGGACCCGTATTTTTTCTTTTTGCCAACTGGCCCCCTTTTTCGGAGTTACAGCCCCCTTAAATCTGTCCCTAAGAAGTCCTTTTTATATCCCAAAACCATGTTGTACGAGAATCACTAAATTTGGTACACAGGGGTTTTATGACGTGGAATCTCACAGGGCTACGCTTTTTGGCGAAAAAACCCCTTAAGACACTTTTTCGTGGGCCCCCTTGCCTTTGGAACCAGAAAAATTTGGTCGCAAATTTGACTTTTTTAAAAATTATTAGTTAGCTAGAAAGCCATTGAATTTAGGCTTTTTTGTCTCTTGATATTTTTTTCGTAAAACGCAATGTTTTTGAGAAAACTGGCGAATCGCAATATGCATTCGAACACATTTTGACATTTTTCTCGAAAACATTGCGTTTTACGAAAAAAGTGACAAAAAGTCTAAATTTAATGGCTTTCTAGTGGACTGATAATTTTTAAGAAATTTAAATATGCGACCAAATTTTTTTGGCTCCAAAAACAAAGGGGCCAACAAAAAATTGTCTTAAGGGGGTTGCCCGCCAAAAAACGTTGCACTATCAGATTCCACATGTCATAAAACCCTGTGTACCAAATTTAGTTATTCTTATACAACATGGTTCTGAGATATAAAAAAAAGATTATTCTTAGGGCCGAACTTCAGGGGGCTGCAACTCCGAAAGATGGGGCCACTTGGCAAAAATAAAAAATATGGGTCCCCTAAATTTGTCCTAAGAATCGGAACACCCTGTATAGCAACATCAGAAAAATTTGTTCACTTGTCAAGGGTACGATTTTGTGTAGAAAGTATAAACGATAGTGGCAGTACAATGACAGTATGTGTTGAAATTAGTTGTTTCTTAACTGTCAGTTTTTGCACATATAAAAGTCTCATGTTTTGGTATTAGTCTGATGAGAACAAAATTGTAGTAATTGAATATTATAGTAATATAATATATAATATATAGCGAGTAATGTTTTTAGAAACTTTGTTATTTAGAAAATCGATTAATCATCCTTGTTTAGTCGTAGCCTTGAAGGAGTTTACGAAAAACGTTTTTTAATGAGTCTGATGCAGTTCAGGTCTGGTTAAACAATGTTTTAATCATATACCTGCTGCGCAATAAACATACAAGAATGAATTAGACGACTGTGTAGAAAATATTATATATTATTAATAGGAACCGGCAAAACATTTCCAATCGAAGTGCAAAAGAATTTGCTTTAACACTTTGTAGCCATAGTGACCTGAAATTATACTGAATGTTTATGTTTTTATTACCTGTGGTTAGTGCTTTATTACAAGATTTATCCTTTACATGTAGATTTATTTTCAGATGAGGCTAATTTTATCCGCAACAAAATTTTTTTATTTCCACAGTACGCAACAGCAGTCTATTGAAATATCCACACTGTGTCATACAAATTTTTAATATCGCTTGCCCATTAATTGGAGGCTTAACATTGCAAACAATTTTTTTTGACCCTCTGAGTTGTCACACCAAATACTTCTTTTTGAAGAAGTCCTTAGTATAAAAATATGTAAATATTCAATTTCTTGATAGATAGGATGCTGCTGTCCAGTTCCACAGCTTTCTCATTTTCCGGAATTAAATTTTTTAAACTTTTATTTCTGGAGACAAAAATTTAATGTTTGACATAGAAGGCAGTGATATTGATGAAGAATATGTGTCGTATGTGGGAGCCAATGAATGGCTCCATCTGTCGTGCAGACTTCCAACTGTACCATTCAAATGACTACAGTAGGAAGCGACCTGCTAACTGCAGGTACTTTGTTGCACGACTGCCACCCACAGAGGGCGAAGACAATGTTCTAATTGTCAGTGCCGCGAGAAACAACTACTATTGCTATTTGCCCCTACCGGCATTGAATTATACTCGCGACACCCAGTACAACAGCTAGGATCGTTTGTCAGTTTAACCCACCAGGCACAGACCGGTTTCAGACTTATTAGTCCTCATCAGTGTGTCATAGGTGCGACAACCGACAAACGACCCAGCTGTTCTCCGTCGTATCATCACGAAGAGGAAGTACATTGTACTGGGTGTCGCGAGTATAATTCAATGCCGGTAGGGGCAAATAGCCCTCGGAGTAGTTGTTTCTCGCGGCACTGACGACTCAAAGAATATGTGTCACTCCCTCTCAACTCCAACAGTTCTCAAAATGTTTGCACATTCCCGTTAAATGACATTTTATGTTGCGAGACTTCTGACTAGATAACATTTGAGCATTTTAAAAAATGATTTACTAGTTTTGAGGTTTCCCCTCGCCACTCTTGTATTACACAAGAAAATTTAAATATTGAATTTCACGACAGATGGACAGGACACAGCAGTCCAGTTCCATGGCCTTTTCGTTTTTAAAACTTGTATATTTTATCTCAGGAGATATTAAAAAAATTTATATTTCCCAGAAGTCAGTGATGAACTATCACAGTTGCATTGAAACTGCATTGCAGACTATTCGACACCGGCAGGATATTCTTTAATTCAACATACTCCAGTTGGGTTAGACAAAAAAAAGGGCTTAACCGGGAAAAAATTAGGGACCACAATTTTATTGTTCTAACCTTTAGGGGGGGTCAATAGTAGTGTAAATTCAGAATCGCGACTGAATTCCACCCTTGCGTCAGCCGCCATCTTGAATTTAAGGAAAAATTGTTTTTGCTCAATATCTCGGCCATTTTCAACTTTACAACAAAAATGGTAAGGACTTAAGTTGTTTCAAAAGCGATTTCCTACAACTTATTTTATTACAAATTTTATCGTGCGATCAATATTTTTCAAGTTAAGGGGGAAAATAGTGACAAAGTATAATTATTGAATTATTTCGTTTGTTATTGACTATACGACACAAATGTACATAAACAAAGTTGGAAAGAATTATATTTTCTACAATTTCGATCGCTTTGATTTTTCGCTACTACCAACATTTAAGGTCCTATGCTTGCGGAGACGTCAGGCCTATGGAATGTTGATCCCTTGAGTTTAGTTGGGCTTGCCATAGGCGTAGGACCTTAAATTTTGGTAGTAGCGAAAAAATCAAAGAGATCGAAATTGTAGAAAATATAATTCTTTCCAACTTTGTTTATGTATATTTATGTCGTAAAGTCAATAACAAACGAGATAATTCAATAATTATACTTTGTCACTATTTTCCCCCTTAACTTGAAAAATATCGATCGCATGATAACATTTTAACCAAAGAAGTTGTAGGAAATCGCATTTGCAACAACTTAAGTCCTTACCATTTTTGTTGTAAAGTTGAAAATGCCCGAGATATTGAGCAAAAACAATTCCTTTGAAACCAACTCCCGCAAGGTCCTACGCTCGCATCTTTACCGCAAGCGTAAGACCTTAAATATTGGTAGTAGCGAAAAAATCAAAGAGATCAAAATTGTAGAAAATATAATTCATTCCAACTTTGTTTATGCATATTTATGTCGTATAGTCAATAACAAACGAGAGATAATTCAATAATTATACTTTGTTACTATTTTCCCCCTTAACTCGAAAAATATCGATCGCACGATAAAATTTCTAATAAAAGAAATTGTAGGAAATCACATTTCCAACAACTTAAGTCCTTACCATTTTTGTTGTAAAGTTGAAAATGGCCGAGATATTAAGCAAAAATGATTTTTCCTTAAATTCAAGATGGCGGCTGACACAGGGGTGGAATTCGGTCGCGATTCTGAATTTACACTACTATTGACCCCCCCTAAAGGTTAGAAGAATAAAATTGTGGTCCCTAATTTTTTCCCGGTTAAATGACAACCCGACTGGGCTAACAAGCTCGTTTATAGGTTGACGAAAGAGCCAGTGAAAATATGACTTGTCATTCCCTCTCAGCACCAGCAATTCTCAATATGTTTGCACTTTCTTACGCGACAGAATTTTCTTTAAGAAAATAATATCGCACGTCTATAAACAGCCTATAATAAAAACAAAATTTCCTCGAATCTCTTACCTTGCACTTGATCCACAGCCGTGGCGTTACAGTTCTTGTCCACTGCAGGTTTCGGGGCATTGGTCTGGGTGTCTGTGACCAGGGGGGCGGTGTTTTCTGTTTCTATACGACGTCTTGTATCCAACTGTGTCTGAAAAGGAAAAACCACTTCACGTACTCCGTCAACGAAAAACGTGTCGGCAAGAAAAAACCAAAATGAACCAAAAAGGTTATTACAGTGCGAAAGCCTGACCTCTTTGTTGTCAGTGGGCTCGATGTTCTCCTGGTTGTTGTCCGTGGTGGGCGTGTGTTTGGTGTGTCTCGGTAGGGTGGTGGGAGCGGTCGGCTGTTGGATCTGCACCGTCTGGGACACGGGCTGGTTGTCGGTCTGCGTCGGTTTCTCCCAGTCGTACGGATCCGTCTCTTTCACGCCCCTGCGCTTCATGCACCTCTCGAACAGCGATATCAGCATCTGAGAAAAAGGGAAAAGTTTTGAGTTTAACACCGGTCCCGTTCGAGGGAGAAGAATCGTCATACCTGATAATCCGGTTTGTCGGCATATTCGAGACTCTGTATATGGTCAAGGAATTGCTTAAGGTCGGACGGCAAGTGTTTCAGAAGCAGCCTGTGGTCGTACTTCTCCTTCATCAGTCCCACTTGTTCTTTGTCTTTTACTTTCCGCCAGGGCAGTTGCCCGTTTACGAACTCTACTAACATGTAGAAGAGGCTCCAGAGATCATCATGTCTTCCCATTTCTATAAATTAACAATTGGTAACGTTCGGGCATGGAATTATTAGAACGAATTTTATTTTCATATACAAGGTGCTTTAAAAATAGATGGTATAAACTCAAGGTCACCATCAATTGTGATTTTACTTGAAAATGGTGCACTTGTGGGGTCAAATTAAATTTTAAATGATAAGATGTGGTTTACAACAGCAGTTCCCAACATTTTACTTTTGTAGACGTATGTAATATATTAAAAAAAACATTTGGCAAAATAAATTGTATAACAACAAAACTTTTATAGTGTACAAAAACAATTTGAAGTAAATATTTTAGTATTCTTTATGATAACACAAAAGTTATTAAATTTTTTAAATACATACATGAGAGTAAAGTACAAAGTAGACTTGCAAATATATGACAAAACAATAATTTGTAAACTAAATATTATGGTTTAACATTTTAAAAACGTAATATTACCATTTTGCCCGAAGCTATTAAATTAAACAAACTTTAATTAACAAGATCTCGTTTATTATTTTATTTAATTGATTATTTCTATGATTGTTGTTGGCCATTTTTCTAACAATAGGTTAGTATTATTATGCACAAAATTCAAGATACATTTTTGGTTGTAAAATGTTAGGCGAGTCCGAAAATAATAAAAAATTTTTAAATCCACTGTCATTCTACTTTTTATGATGAAAACGTCGACTGACTCGAGCCTAACTATGCCACTGCCAGTAGATAATAACAATTGGCTATATACTAAAAATGCAGCTCCTTACCAACATGCAATAACTGCCTAATTTTAAGAACCTAATATTGACTGTTCCAAATTTATTTAAAATAATATTAATATGTATATTCTTTAAAATTTTCAACACCCTGTGTCTCGGAAGGGTTTCCAGCCACATGTTTACAGGAACTTTTTTTTCTTTAAATACCATAAGAAATTGTCTCCTGAAGTAACGGACCGTACTTAGGAAACATGTATATTTGTTTTTTTATTGAAATCCAGAATTGTATAAGAGCTTTAAATTTAAAACTTGAAGCTTGTGCTATGTCAGGAAAAAGAAGCTTCTTTTTCTTTAATTTTAAGGTTGGTAGTGCTGGTATCGTTTTTAATATATATAATGATGTGCAAATATTTTAAGGTGGTGTTTAGGAAGTGATTTTACGGGGGTACTTCCTATATATTTTTTTGATTTGATCCCCTCCTGAGAAATTATTCAAATTTCAAAATGGCCGAAAAAATTAGCTTTTATTTTTCTCCACAAAAACGGTTAATCTTAGAAATTTGAATTTTGGTACACATTAGCAACTACATAGTTGAATGGTATTTTTTTGTAGTCTTTTTTTTCTGATTTATGTCTTTGAATGAAAGAAATTAGCACCCGTTGGTTTTATTTCTCTTACAACTTTTTTCTATGTTAGCCAATTCCAACAAGAAAAATAGCTTTTAATACTACATTTCATTTAGAAACTCTTTTTACTCTTCTTTGCCGATTAGGTACACATAATTAGTATAACAGTAACCAAAAACGATCGTCATTTTAGACACATTTTTTGCAAAAATAATTTTTTTATCAATAGGAAAAGCTAAGAAAATATGAAATAAAAATTTAATTATATTTTAAAATCACCCTGTATATGTGATTAATGCAAGTTCCAAATAGAGTGCTCCTTCTTGAAAAATTATTCATGTACTACCAACATTTAAAATTGTAAACTAATAAAAAAAACCTATAAGCATGTGTCCGGAAACAATTGGTTTACATTGTACAGGGTGTTGAAAATTAATGACCTATTTGAAATTGCAAAAAAAAAACGTAATGTATATAATACTCAACTTTATTCATAGATGTTGGTTCATAGATATTGGTTATTTGAATAATTATTTATTATAATTATTTTTTAAATAATTTGAAATTTTTACACTTTCAGAAACAACTACCTAGACATGATTAAATATTTTATCATTTATCTCAAAAAACTATGTATTTTAGTAACATGCAAAAAAAAGTTTCAAAATAGTAGGTTCCTTGTGTTCCTTACGATTTATTTAAAAAAATTCCAATATCAAACACATTCTGTTAAATAAAAAAAAATTAAAAATGCCACAAATAAATAACTATAGACAACATATTAAACACATTTACTGTTTTGCATTGGTGATTTGTATTTAATTCCTTGTAAGTTTATATTATTTGCTTTAAATTTTATAATTTTCTTCACAATTTAAAAAATTTAATTAGAGATCATTTGAGAATTTTAGTGCATAGAATTGTAAACTCTTTCAAACAAGAAAATGAAAACTACCCAGGTGAAATATAAAACAGTATATTGTGAGAAAATAATAATGCATAGACATATCACTTGAGACTCGAGAACGAACTATATGAATGACTGACTAACACTCTAACTTTTACATGGTAAATGTAAACTATATAATCCTAAATAAACTGATGCATCAGCATTCAATCCATCAATGCAGCTCCATTGGTCCCTATACGGGGTGTCCCCAACTGCTATCGCTTACAGAATTGTATAAAAATAATTGTTTTTTCTTGAAAACGGTTAATATTATTGACTTGTAGCAAGAGGACCTTTACATAAGATTACTCTTTCAGCTGTTTTACATAGCTGACAATTTATTGATTAATTAATTCATGAAGTCGCTTCATCAAGAAATTGGACAAGTGTAAGGCACCAAATCTGCTGTCAAATAATTTCATGAATTTATTCATCAAGTTCTCGACGAATTAGAGCATGTTCTAGTTTTCGTCAATTTCTTCGTGAAGTTTGGATGTACCAACCCAACAGATTTCCACCCTCAGATCAGTAATGAGGTTATGTTATTGGAATAGGTAAATAATTGTGTGGCGTCGTACTAGTTTTGCGTTGTTTTTACTGATTTGTTACTTACAAACACTAATATTTATATAATGTGTCAAAACGGTACCGCTGTTGTATCACTACAATTATGAGTGGAAAGGTGACATTTTTGAAATTTATTTGCTTCTTTGATTCGTAGGTAGAACTGATTCATGCGTAAAAAAACTTGATAAAGTCTGTAGCAGTGTAAAACCACACTGTTTACCAAAAAATTCGTGAATTAATTCATGAAGAACTTCGTCAATTTATTCATCAATAAATTGTCAATGTAAAACAGCTTTATTAAACTTTAATGGTCGCAAATAAAAAAGTTATGACCAATTTTTTAGCAAATTTATTACCAGTAAAGAATATATCAAATTAAAAAAATTGCTTAAATAAAAGAAATAAATTAAATAAATAAATAAATCAATCAGTTTTGAGGTTACGTAACTTGGTTAATATCGAATTTTGGAAATAGCATGACAGGAACTTGAACCATTATTTTGATACGTAGAATAAATTCCTAAATCGTTACTTATAGTTTCCGAGCACCCTGTATATTCTTAGAAATTACTCAAACATTTTATATTTATTTATACAAAAAAAATACTCGACTAACCTCTATTTTTATGTGCATTAATACTGGCGTATCGGACGGTACCACGGAATCCTGCCGCTGCCCTGGGCGCCCTGACCTCCCCAGTGGCGGTGGTGTATTGCCTGGCGAGTCCGAAATCTAACATGTATACTTTCCTACAGTTATATGGCAGTCTACCCATTGAAAAATTACTCTGAAACAAAACTAAAGGTCACCACACACACGAAACCAAATGCCTAACACTAGTACTTTACTGGTACTCCTTGAAACAACCGCCCAAATACTTCACCCTCATAAAAATTCTACTTACAGGTTTAATATCACGATGTAAAAAGCCAACAGAGTGTATACTCTCGATCGCCTTAAGTATCTGTAAGCCCAGCCGTAGCGTCGTGGACAAACTGAAGGCAGCCCTGGGCTGCGCCCTCCTTAATTCGGCTAGGTTGCGGCCTTGCAACTGCATGACCACGTAGTTGAATCTATCGTTCCTGCCGCAGCCGATGAATCTATCGAAAATACGTTACGTTAGTTGCGACACGGTTTATCCCTCGCTCTCACCGTACCTGCATATATGTTCCTTTCCTTGTAGCTTTTTTAGAACGGCGACTTCCATCTTCAGCACTTGCTTCGGCTGTCTTGCTGATTCCACTTTAAGAGCTACCTGTTCCCTGGTTATTAGATCTAAGCCCTCATATATCTCCCCGAAGCCTCCCCCGCCTATTTTTTTGACTACCTACAATGGAAAATCGTACGTTCTTTAACGTATCTTCGAGTAAAACAAAGGGAAGTGTGATGTGAGCAAATAGGTTTAATTTAAAGAAATAAACAAAGGGAATCGGAGGGTGATTTTTCGGGTATTTTTATGAGAAACTTTGGGCTCACCTTCCATCGTTCCTTCACGACATGTCCGGGCTGAAGCAGATCCTCAGATGTCATAGTAATATTGTTATTTTGATCTGTGGAATCTAAATGACCTTCCCAGCTTAACTTTTTTGGCCTGCAAGCACACAAACAAAGTGAGTCGTCTGCCGCATATTAAAACCTCTGCAGTTGTCAAATTGTCATGATCGAATTGTTTTGTGTTTAAAGATCGGTTTTGCGGGGATCGGCGACCAGCGGCGCGACTTTGTATTTAGTATTGCCTAAAAACGGGCAAAACCACACGGAAAACCAGCTGATTCCCGAAGGCGCGTGCGTGGATCCGCGAAGGAACTGGCAAGGCCTTCTACGTGTTTGTGAACGCCCGAAGTTTATTGATTTTTTAAATAATATTTTAGCCAAAAAGGGACAATAAATATAATTAATTAACTACACGGGGGATAACTAAGGAGCATGCAACCTTCTCGTAATAAAATTTGCATAAAATAATTCGGCAGACAGGCACGAATATCCAGAGATTTTATGCCAGGGGATTGTCCCGATAGGACCACGCGAAATTTTTATTGTTTGGACTATTTTAGGATTAGTTTTGAGGATTCCGTATATTATTACGCCAAAAATAAAGTAGATAAATTTAGAATTTTTAAAAATGTCTCAGCTGACATCAGGTAAAAATACCTCGAAGAAAACTCGCAAGATCGCCCATTAGTAAGAATTAATCACAGAAAAAGACGCCCACGATCGATAGTCAACATTTAAATAAAGTGGAAATACTGAAATTTTGCGGAAACCATTGCGGACATGCAACAAATCTTATTGTAAAAAATCACCTGGCACTTTGATCGGCTGTGCGCAAAACTATGAAAGCTATGGAAAACTTTACTGGATATTATAAATAAAAATGTAACACTCAAGCATGCATACTTGTTAAACACAACGTTTTAAACCATTAAAAGTGCTTAAGAAGCGTATTATTTGACATTTCTTACGGTTTGTGGGAGCGATAATCAATATACACGCCATTTTTCTTACAGACACGAAGTTAGCACTGGGTCTTGGCGCACTTATTTGAATCCGTTGCGGTGGGCGCTGTTCAGTGGGAACGCCTCATGCTTTCGGTGGTTTTCTGGGGGTCGGGTTGTTTGACAAAGGGTCACTGGAATTTTTTCGAATGACTTGACAGTGACATGTCCAGGTCCCGATAATCCGGGCCCACGCAGATCACGTGACCTATACCTGGTTCTTATTTCTCCAGTTAGTCCGAGCTTACACGGTGGAGCAAACACGACGGTGTGCAACGCCGCGACAGCCTCAGAAAGGTAGAGAAATTGCGTCACTTCTGGCGTACTGCGACGCAACATGATAAATTGCGAACAATAGAAGCGAGAAATAGTCACTAGCAGTGCTAGCTCGTGTGAGTCGTGTATGTAGTAGATATATCATTTATTTTAATATGAGTAAATGTACAGTAGACAATTGGTCCAATAGAAATAAACATATTGAGAAAAGAGAAAAATTCACGATTCGTTCGTTAAGTAAGCAAAAAATGCAAAGTATAATGTATAATAATGATGGGTAAAATGTTACAGTAATTCTGAACAGAACTTTATTGGCTTATTCTTTTTTTGGAATTCTATCTCAACAAATATTGTACGGGCTGTACCTATTTTGTATAAAATTAAATAAAATAAATAATTATTTACCCATGGACTTTTTGACTTTACTGGTGTGGTTTATTTTTACACATGGTGTAAATAAATAAGTACCAAAAACATTAGGGTGTGATTCGTTGTTGAAAAATAAGGTGGGTATTTCATATAAAAAAAATTTCATTTGAACATCCCCTGAGAAAATACAACCGCTTAAAGAAGGTGCCAAAAAAGTAGTTTTTAGTTTTTTTCTGAAACACTTACCAAAAAAGTGACAGAAATGAAATTAAGTAAACGTTTTCTGCTATCGAGAAGGCACTCAATAAACAGTTTGTTGATTTTCCCCTACGGTTGTAAGGGGTATAAAAAGCCACCCCTAAAACTTGTTTCATACGCGACTTTTTTTCTAATCAGTATGTTACCATTTATTTTAGATAACCTGATTCATTCTAAACAAAAATGGTCACTTGTAATATTTTCGTAAAATTAACGATTTCTGAGCAAAAAATTTATTTAAAATTAATTAGTACGCGGCTAACACATTTTGTAATGATAACTTAATTGTTATAATTAGTGCAATAACTTTATTAAACGTGTGAAGAAACAAACATTCGACATTTAATATAATTTCTATTAGTTTTTAATAATTTATAATAGGTTTTTTGGCTTTTTTTACATCAACAAATTGTTTATGAGTGTCACCTCGATAGCAGAAAATGTCTACTAAATTTCATTTCTGTCACCTTTTTGGTATTTCAGAAAAATTAAGAATTACTTTTTTGGCGCCCTCTTTAAGCGGTTGTTGAAATGAGATTTTTTTTATATGACAGACACCTTATTTTTCCACAGGGAATCACCCCCTGAATATTTTCGTACTTATTTATTTACAATAGTAAATAGTATAGTAGTGTAGTATACCTTAAATAATACTTGTTATTTTACACACAATACCTATGAATTTTTTATAGATAGCTTTCTAGAAGTCCTCGTTGAATATTTAAATATTAAAATTATTAGTCCAGTCAAGGCTCCAGTGAAGGCGAAAATAAAGTAAAAGCTCCCAATTTTTTCGGATAGAAATTTACATACAAGCTCATCTGACCCCCCACTTCTGCGATTTGCAGTTTATTTGAGCCTTCGTTTTTTAGATTTGTAAGCTAAAAGGGCTCAGGAAAGGCAGTCTGGGAGCTTAGTTTTGAGCTTCTAATGGTTATAACTCAGTCAAATTTTGTCCTACAAAAATTAATAAAAAGCAAATTGTTAAATAAGAAAAAACCTACAATTTCTTATTATATCATTTTTTATAACTTTGTTAGTTTCTGAAATATTTTGAAAAAAGAGAGATTTTTTAAAAAATTGAAAAATTGTATTCAAAAGTAAATGATTTTTTTTTAATTTAGGCTTCTAAAATCATTCAAATTCCCAGAATCTACTATTAATACATAAATAAAGTAAATTGCAGAAGGAATACGTTTAATTTTTTTCCATCAAGTAATTAATTTTAATACCGATTTTTTTCTCAATCAAGACAATCATTTTATTTTGATAACTTCATTAGTTTTCATGCTAACGACTTCTACGACCACTCAATTTAAAGGTCTTTTCAAGCACTTTAATAGGTGTTATATAAGTTTTCCTCGAAAAACCTTTAATTTTTTCGCTACAAGACGTTAAACGTTTCAATTAAAGCTATCTTCGAAATTGACTTGCAACTTCTGGGAGTCATAACTCGGGTTCTATACCATCTACAAAAATAACAAAAAGCAATCTCTGGTATTTAGTTACCTTCATTTTTGCTTATGATCATTTTTTTAATAAAACTTGTAGATTTTAAGATATTCGCGAAAAATGGCTCAAAAACATGCATTTTTTGGGCTAAAAACGAACATGTTTAGGCGCAAATAACTCAAAAAGTATTGACTGTACAAAAAATTCTTATAGAGCATTTTTTGCTTATAATTCGTCCCTCTATCGAATCGTGAGGTTTTTAATAAAAAAATCCCACCCTCCAGAAAGGGTGGCATCCATCCCTAGAGTAAAAGCACACATCGGCACTATATAATTTATGTTTCTTGGGCTATTCCCTAGGTACAGTTCAAATTTCACGTCAATCCATTCCATCCGAATTCAATTTGTGTGAAGAAAAAGTAAAACAAGCCGGTTTACTCTTATTTTATTTAATAGGTCAACTTTTCCTTAATTCGAACCTGTTGAAAATTGGCCTGGCCTTAGTTATTCCATGCACTTCACTTTCCAATATTCTGCCATCTCTGATTCTAGACTGCCAGACTGACATTGTGCAGTCTGCCTGGTCTATGATTACAAAATTTAGTAAAAATATACAGGAAAAAATGTAAACATTAGAAAAATTGTTTAGATATTGGATTATAACATATAGGATCTGCTTTGTCTTTATTATTAGTTCTGGTTCTGAGAATTGTAGTAAAATTGCTGTCAGCTTTTGGCTCTTTTAATTTTTTATTATCATGTAATCTACCTCATAGATTTAATTTGAAGCTTTTGTAGTAGTTATCGTGAAACAATTTTTTTATGTGAAAAGTTGGATTTTGATATCTTGGCTACCCATAAGCTTAATATGAGATTTATAAGAATTTTTCTGGACTTAACGGGGTACATTTATGGCTATTTTTTATTTTTTACAGAGATTGATGGAGCCCTGACCTAGGATGTAAGAAGATTTACTTGGGAATGGACGAATGAAACAAAACCAAATTGAGAGAGTGATGAATCCCTTTGTTCGGTGAACTACTTACGCGGACCACCCTATATAACACCAACAAGTAAGTAAATTTATTAATTTTATAACACCCAACTTTATCTTTTTCATGCCATCTTGCCATTACCTGACAAATCCAATTCGACATAAATTTTGTGAACATCGCACCTATATTATCATAATTATGTTCGCATTTCTCGTGGATTAGGTACTTAATTAAGTCGGCTACGTAAATAAGTATATTATTACAATTAAACACGGACAAAATAAACCTACATCGCCGAATTAGTTGCCAAAATATGCGTCTACTCCGACGCCATGACTCAACATCGACGTCAGGCCAACATTATAATAATTGCTAAAGTTCCTATAATTATTATTAATAGACATAATTCGTGTACTGGTCGATCAAAATATTTAAAAAAAAAAAGAAAAACCCCCCTCAGACGTCCATGGCATACTCGATTATCTCACGAAACGGTTGAATAAATAAAATCACGGCTGTCTTAGTTTACGTAGCGGATTCACGTTTCGGATCGGGTTGCAATGCGTAGCGGCGCGGATTTTCAGCGTTTTCAGGCCGCCACGCCGCTGAAAACCAGATGGTAGCGTTTCAATAGTTTATTTTGGAATGGTCATATGAAACCCGCGGTCATCGAACTGGTGGTCGGATCGACGGCAGTGGTGCATTAAATATGGTTTTCCGCGTTCTTTCCAGTGGTATAGAAAAGATACTTCCTTAAATGCCTGAAATAGTTGAATAAAAATTAATTTATCTCACAGCGACTTAAACCTAGCTTTCTCAGCTGTGTAAGTGTTAAAGGCATGTGCGTCTTTTAATTTAAAATATACAGGGTGTCTCGATTATACTCCAAAAACTAAGAGGGGGGTGAGTTTATCGTAGATAAACAGTGGGGGGTAGTTCATATAACGTTCTTCTCTTTCATGTTGCGTTTCAAATGGTTGTTTCGAAGAGGGTTTTTGTTAATTATCTTTAAATTGTCTAAATAAATAGTGCCCCAATTGTGCGCCATTTTCATTCCGAAGAGTTGGCAAATTGTGCAGGGTCACATGATGTAGTAAACACGTTACTGATAGACAAAAATTGTGAAAACTCATTACAAGTATGGAGAGTGTGTAGCTGAGACGTGTGCAAATTACGGTTCAATGCAATACAAAAAAAGGCCGGTTTAGCAATACCATTTTTTTTCTGGACAAATGTGTTATATAAAAATAAAAACAGTACCAGTAAAATGTTTTTCTATACCCTCAAATGCTTGTAAATACCAAAAAATTTATATTTTGTGAACAAACATATCACGTTTTAGCTGGTAATGAAACAAATTTCATTCATTTTCTTCGACGAATAGCCTTGTGCATAAAAGAAAATGATGCCGACTTTCAGTATTTGTTATAGTATTTTATTTGTTTAATAATGCCGCAATGTTTGCTTTCATGTTTTTAATTCAGTCTAAGAACTGCTATTCTTTGTTATAGTCTGTAGACTAATTTATGAAAATTGTTTAGGTAACCTTAACTGACTGTTAGAATAACAAAATTGTAATTTTTTATGAATTCGAGAAAGCTAAAGTACTTAATTGATTACTGTGATTTACTGAATATACAGGGTATTTCAGAAAGACCTCCCGTAAATACAGGAGGTGATAAAAATAAGAATTTTTTGTTTTATGAACTATCTCCTCTTGTTTTCGAGATATAGAGTGACAAAATAAATTTTTTTAAATAGAATTTTTACGAAAATTTCCAAACG